CAGGTCCTTACCACTAGGCCACCAGAGCTCCCCTCGTTCTTCTATTCTTAAGGAGTGCTTTGCTTATTCGGATTGCCCCTTAATCTTGTTCCTTGAGAGCAGGTCCCTTGTTTTGGGGTCCTTTGCAGCCTGGTCATTACTGGTAACACACAGTGCCTCATCTTCACTCCTCTTTGGCCTAGGTGATCATGAAGTCCTGTACAGGGATCAATTATGAAGAATTTTACCACTTCCTCAAGATCATTGCTGAAAAGAGGATCCCCAGCCTGGCAAATGGAATGGCCACTGAGACAGCGGGGAGTGTTAGTGACACCGGGCTGGGTGTCCAGCATACTGCTTTCGATGTTAGTCGAATTACTGAGGTACTGGCATCCCTGATCACCAACCCAGACTTCCAGAGACTAGATACCAGTGCCTTCTCGCTGCAGCCAGGGGATCTCCTCCAGCAGCTAGAGGAGGCCAGAACTGCCACTGTGTCCCTTTAATGCTCATCAGGGAAGTCTTGGGGTGTGAAGATGTGCTAAGACAACGGCATGACTGAAGGCATCTGGTTCCAAGTGTCCACTCTATGAATAAAGCACTGCTAGGGTCTAGTTTCTAATGGGCCATAGAGAGTGACTGCTTTCCGAAGAAGGAGAATGTACTAGAACTAGACGTAGTGATGCTTGAACAACATGGTATACGTTGTATGCATAAAGCAGCTGAGTTAAGCATTTTAAACAGGAGGTGTTATTTTATTTGAATCATAAAGCTTAAAATCAAAAGTATTTAAAAAGCAAGAAAATACTACAGAAACATCACAACAAGAGTCCCAGGTAAGGAACAGAAAGCTGCTGCCTTTGGGATGGCAGTGCGACTCCCTGTGGTCTCCACCGGCAGTGCTCCCTTGGCTAGAGCTAGTTCAGGCACTAGTAATTGAAGTGGTTCCAGAGTGGGTAATAATTGCTGGCTCTTACTCTGCAAGCAGTGTTCAAGCTGGTTCTGGAACTGGCTGCAGGTCTGAAGATGATGCCAGAGCATAATCTACCTCAGAAAATTGTGCTGGAGCTGGGGGTTATATCATTGGAGTGTATGCTAGAAATGGACCTGCAGCTGGCTTCTGCTTAGAATAGAGCATTAACTCTGGAACGGATGACAAGAACGACTCCAGTTCTGTAGCCACAGCTGCTGTTATGTGCCGTTGAGTCAAAACCAACTCATAGCTGACCCTCTAGCGGATTTTCAGAGACTGTAAATTACACGGAAGGAGATTGTCCGTCTTTCTCCGGTGAAGCAGCTGTTGGACTCAAACTGCTTGCCTTAGAGTTGGCAGTACAGCTCCTTATGTCTAGTCCACCAGCTCTCCCCAGAACCAGAAAAGTTCATTAACTTGGAGTTAATGCAAAGCCTGGTGCTAGTGAGAGTTGACTTTAGTTCAGTAGCTGGTGCTGGCTCTAACTATAAATATGACACTCAGACTGGACAGAGGGCAGGAGTTCACCTTAGGAGCCATGTATCTATGGCCTGAAGGCTGTATCGCCTAGGGAGGCAGGCACTAGATGCTCTACCAGATGCTATACAGTGTGCCTACTTTAAAAGTTCAAACCAGGGAGGTCTCATCCAGGTCTTGAGCTGGCTCATTTCACACTAGGGGTGGAACATAGAAGAAGCACACAGTTGGAGGTAGCACTGTAGTTACCAGAATGCCGTGGCCGGAACTCGGAGCACAAGCGCACAGAACCTCAGTGGTGTCTGGTAAGAGATGGAACATGAGTGCATCCAACAGAAAACAGCTCTTGGGTTTTAAATTAGAATTGAAGATGGAAGAGTTGGTTGTGAATATTTTGTTAGTTGATAAGAAAAATTTTTAAACAAGCTCTCAATAACTCAGCAGGAGTTTTTTGTTGAATGCAGAGAGCATATTAAAAAAATAACCCTAATGAGACCTCAAAAAGCCTCCAAATTCTAGAGGTGAGAAAACAGTGACTGTTCAAAGACATGAGATCAAAATGCAGAACTGTCTGAGACTTGAGATGTAGGAATGATGTTCTTTCTATGCTCTCTGAGGCTTGGTCTGTTCCTGCCTTGAAGAGCTGGCAAAACCTCATTCCCTTCCTCATTTAGAGTCACTGAGTAGATAGGCATTTGGCTCCGAGATCGCTTTTAAAGGCAAAATACAGCAATTTTTTTACTTTATTTTCTATCAAAAAGAATTCAATTTCAAGAACAAATTCTTTCAATTTGTTTTTGAAAACAGTGTATTAGAAGTTTATAGATAAACTAGTAGAAAATTTTAAGAAAGAATATGATAAATTATTTTGGGGTAAAAGTAGAGCTTAAGATTATATGGTGTTCCTAGATATATCAGATGCATAGAGAATGCAGGGTAGGAGAAAGTTACTTTCAGGGACTAGAGAGCGTTATGCTGCATGAACTAACTTCAGTCCCACAAGGATAAATATTGCAGAAAACCATTATTGTAGAATTAGTAGAAGGATCCAGAAGAGGTGGGAGAGTTTAGAAGCTGAGGGAGGTGGATACACAGGGAAAGAGGGGGATTAATCGTGGGGTTGTATAATTTGATGTAGGGGGTAAGGGAAATTGAAAGAATTTGTTACAAATTTGTAAACAATATATTTGAATTTTGTAAATAAACTAGTAGAAAAGAAAAAAGACAATAAAAGGCTAAGGACGTGAACCCATCACTTAGGAAAAGGAAGTCCAGGGTACTGGTGACAAGCCTTCTCTTCTCATTGAGGCAAAACCAAAAATCAAAGCACCACTGATGCCTTTGGCCATTCTGAGCCCTGATTGGGCAGAAAGGTGGCAGAACTACAACGCCCAGGCCAGTGGACTGCCAGAAGCAGCCACCATCTCAGACTGCTGGTGGCGGCATAACTGCTACATCTGTTTTGAAAAATAGCCTTGTTTTAGGGAATATTATTGTGCATATTCACATTTTTTGATCCAGAAATCCCATTCTTTGGAGACTGTCCTGGGTAGGGGTATCTGTATATTAAGAAATACCAAATGTTGAACATGTGTCCTGGATTACTGAATTATGTTGCTCGAAAATGTGTCAGCTCGGCTAAATCATGATTCTCAGAATAACTAACTTATCCTATGTGTTGTGAATGCTAACTTCTGTGATGCTAATCAGTCATGACTAGAGGTAGTTACGTGATGATACAGGGAGTGCTGGTGGCCTAGTCTATGGGAAGTCGCACTGCTGACCCAAAGGCCATGTCCCTCTAGTGGTTCAGATCCACCTGCAGCTCCTTATGGACGGTCTTCTCCTATGTGGGTCACGGCCTCAGATACCCGGTGGAGAGTCAGCTATGAGTCACAAATTTGAGAGTTTCGTTATGTATAATGATTCCCCCCGTGTCATTCCCCATGATAAGAGGATTAGGGTAAGATGCAACATTCTACAACCACTACAACCCTGATTTGATGTTAAAGGAGTTCCCTGAGCTGTGGTTTGTAACACTCTCAACAAGTGGTAAAAGGAAAGCAGGCAGCGAGGTGGGGACCTCATTCTCACCAAGAAAGAAGGCCAAGAGTACAGAGTGTCATGTCCTTGGACTAGGGTACCTGCTTACCTAGGAAGCTCGTAGAGCTGGCACTCCTAAATTGTGAGGAAATAAATGTCGATAAAAGCCATCCACTTGTGGTTTTTCTGTTACAGCTGCACAAATAATCAAGACATTGTAGCAATGTTGAAATGGCAACAGAAATCAGGTTTGGGTACAACTTCAGTAAAAGAAAGCAGCACTTTGACAACCTGCCTCCTTTCTGAAATAATTCTTCACCTGAGTAAAGCAACAGCTGAGGACCTAGAAAGATACTGTAATCTCCGAGATGCAAAATTACCAGAAAAGTCACAAGTGTGAACACACAGACATACCCTTGCTCAGCTTAACAGAAAACTTACTAAGCATGATGATGTGTCAGGCTTGGAGAAGGTGTGGAAGGATAGTCATGCAGAATGCTACAGGAGGTATCTGGGACTGGGAGGTTAATTTAACACTGTACCAAATGCAGAAATAGTCATGGCCTGATGTGACGTAGTAAAAGGATGGCACAGGCCTGGACAGTAATTAATTCTATTGTAGATTAAAGTTGCTGTAAGTTGGAATGGAGTTGATGGCACCTAACAATAAAGTTGTTGTTCTTATGTGCCTTCGAGTCGCTTGCAACTCATAGTGACCCTGTGTACAACAGCCCTAAACTCTGCTCTGTCCTGTGCCAATCGCACTGTCTCTGATACACCCATCCTGAATGCCCCAGTCACTGAATCAATCCACCTCATAGAGGGTCTTACCCTCCTGTGCTGTCCCTCTACCCTCCCTAGCATGGTGTCCCTCTCCAATGACCGGTCCCTCCTTACAACATGTCCAAAGTATGTTAGACGGAGCCTCAGAATCCTTACCTCCAAGGAGCAGGCCAATTTAACCATCTCCAGGATGAATCTGTTTTCCTAGCAGTCCATGGTACACTCAATATTCCAGCACCACAACTCAAAGGCATCCATTCTCCTTCTATCCTCCCTAGTCATTGTCCAACTCTCTGATGCATAATAAGTGATAGAAAAAAATATAAAAACATGATCTCTCTGGCCTATTAAGTAAGGAAATGCTAACACAAAGATACTCAGTTTGAATCCAGCAGGTGCTCTGTGGGAGAGATGTGGTTAGTTTCCAGTGCATTTTACTGTCTCTGAAAACCTATAGAGTTAATCTGTGACTTGGTTCCAACTCCATGGTACACAACAGGAAAGGGGGAAAGAAGCTTTGCATTTGACCAGAGTTCAGGCTAGACTGTAGGGGTGGTAGATGACAAAAAGGTGGTCAGTTTCCTTTCAGAGCAAAGTGTCCATCATTCAAGATGGAAAGGCCTCGTAAGGAACTCTTATGAGTCTCTGGGATGGTGTCTGGACCCTGAGGTCCTCTCTGGCCATTTTGGGACCTGGGTGTGGAGATCTCTGTGCACTTGCACTCACCCTAAGTGTGGTCTGGCCTTTTATAGTCTTTCTCAGAGAAGGTATAGATGATTCATTGATCTCACCAGTTTACCTGTTGTTGTTGGGTAGTGCCATCGAATACAACGCATAGCAACCCTGTAAAAATAACAAATATGAACCCTATCCTATCCTGTGCCATCCTCACACTTCCTGACACATTGCAGCAGTCACAGTCCACCTGGTTGAGAGTCTTCCTCTCCACATCAAGGCCCTCTCCAGGGAATAGCCCCTTCTAGCAACATGCCTGAAGTATGTGAAGCTAAGTCTCATCATCCGTGCTTCCAAAGAGCACTCGGGCTGCACCCTCTCCACAATATATTGTTCTTTGGCTGTCCGTGGGATGTTCAGTACTCTTCTCCAACACCACAGTTCAAAGGAATCAATAATTCTGTCATCCTCACTCACTGTCCAGCTCTCAGATGCAAAGCAAGTGATTGCAAAGATCATGGCCTGAATAAGACACACCTTAGTCCTCAAACTGAC